TTTTAGGGTTATTAACTAAGTTCATGTACTCAGACCAGTAATATTTGGGGTCATAAGTTTTTGCCATGAATATTTTGTGGGTCAGAAGATAAAAAGTTTGGGAACCATTGGTCTAGATCCAACAAAACTAGGTTGAAACACGTTTAAGACTGGCTGATTAACCGGATTCTGTAGATTTTGAAGACCTGCTAAAGAGCAGGGAAACAACAGGGTAGTGGCCCTTGAGGATTAGACACCCCTGGTCTAGTGATAGTGTTTAATATTAATTTGAGAATTATTTTACAACTGAAACAGATCATTTTAACGCAGCTCATGCACTAAGTTAGGCAGCTAAATGTATTCTAACTTGAAATAAACACAAGGAAACAAACTGATTGCCACAAAGAAATAAGAAGTTTTTATTATCATTATTATCAATCATTGTATTTTATGAACATGATTTATTCCTGCTAAATAAATGAAAATGGAACAATTAAACTCCAAATGAGTTTTTTTTAATAACAAAATGTATCTCTCTGCAGTGATTAATCAGAGTCCTTCCCCTCGTCGGCAGGGTCCTGGAGGGAAAAAGAGAGAGAAAGAATTACAATAAGCAACAAACACATTTTCCATTTTAAACATGTATATGCCAGATAAATCATAAGTTACAAATACCTGTTTTTGACTCTCATCATCTTGTGTTTTGGTAGATGATGAATCAAAGCTGTGTTTGGGAAGCGTGGCCATCCAGCTGATCATGGAGCCCTCCTGACACTCCATCTCAATAATGGTGGGGTAAATGTGAGCCTCTTTGAAGGCCTTGATTTCCTCCTCCAAGTGGTCCCATTCTAGCCGCTCATGCAGACCGTCCCCTCCGAAGCGTTTGTTGTACAGGTCGAAGTGAACCTTTTCGAGGACCAGCCCGAGTCCCGGAGCTTTGGGAATATCCGCCTTTTCGTGCTCCCAGCATTGCTCCATCATCTCTTCTGTTGCATAGCCCTTGATCACGGCAATCACCAGGCCAATCATCTTACGAATTTGGTGCTGCATAAAACTCTGGCCTCGCACGGTGATCACGGCGAACTCATAATTGTTGCGGACAAAAGGCTCTCCACAGGACATCTCCATGATGTAGCGGCGGGCACTGGGGTCATCTGAAGTCTTCCCGGAGGTGAAGTTGTGGAAGTTATGAGTGCCTTTATAGACAGCAAAAAGACTGTTTACCCTCCGAAGTGTCTCTGGTTCCAGCCGAAAGCCTTCTATATTCCCAGTATCATAGTCTTTAGGAGCAAAGGCCACAGTTGGAAGCATGTAGGAATATGTGCGAGCATCGCATTTGATTCTGGAATCAAAACCCTGGGTCACTCGCTTAACTCCTGTAGTTACAAAAATAAAAAAAACAAACATCATTCAAACATCTGGGACTTGTACAAAATAATGAGCAAAGCTTGAAAGATTATTAATCCAAGAAAGTCTTACCAAGAACCCTGATCTGTGGCGGCAAATGTTCATTTATATTTTTTATTAGGTCATCGATCAGCTGCAGCTTCAGAGAAACCACTTGACCAGCAGCAGAAACATTCTAAAAAAATGTAAATAAAACATGTCACACTGTAAATATGTCAAATATATGCAAATTCTTCAATGGCAAATTTATTCCAAACTATCAACAAATACAGACCATTTAAATCAAGTTTTACTCTTAAACTGGCCAAAAGTTTCTGTTCATAAATGCAAAAATGTGGCAAGTTTACAACAATAAAAACCAATGATATATATATAT